CATTATAAAGTTGTATATTTTATATTGAGTTCTAGTTTTTAAAATACATAATTAGGTGATCGTAATGACTGAATAATGTGTATTTCCGATATAAACTGTCATTCATTTCCAATATATCCTATTAAACACTATTAAAATAAATAGTTTTTAATTTTCTAGTTTAGTACGCAAAGGTTTAAATGTAAAGTAGTGTTTTTGTTATTTATATTGCGTTTAGTATAACGTTTATTTAATAATGTATTTTATAAACTTTTTATTTGGCACAAGTCTATAGTTTTAAAAAGTTTTAATTATTACTTTCTATTTAATTATAAAAGGTTTAACTGATTTATTATTTGTCGCATAATTTACAGAATATATAATTTTTACGGTACATACAGAATATTCAGATAACATTTATATAATTAACAGTATTGGCTGAAATATATACAAATTACTATTAAGTTTTATATTTTATTAATTAAAATGACTTTGGGTATATTTGTTTGTGAAATTCACTTTAAAAGCTATAGAAATTAATACTAAAAATCAATTATTTTTTTAAAACAAATACTCATAGCTTGCGAAACGGTATTAAAAACAAATTATGAAATAATTATGCAAATGAATGGCAAAACCCATACAAAAAACATTAATTATTAATTGAAATGTATTTTAAAATTCTTGGGAATCGTATGAATCGCGCCATTAAAGCCTTCCTCCAGATGTCTACCAAACCAACACTCAATCCATTGATGGGGTCTTCGGTTCGCGATCTCCACGAACTCCGCAATGGATTCACCGCTCATCTCTCTCTCTCTCTCTCTCTCTCTCTCCAAATAAATTTAAAACAATTGATTAAATTTTTATATACTTTTTATTTCATTAAGTAAACCAACAAATAATACACAGAACTAAACAACAAAACAATTTATCCCTAAATATATATATACAGCAAAAAAAGACAAATCAATAGAAGTCGTGTGAACAGAGAATATAATCATAAGTTAATGACAGGAATTGGATATAAAAAAATAATTAATTAATCATCAAGGGAAATAATTAAACATAAAAATAGTCAATCGATTTCAACACATAATGAATGGACGGATGAATGAGTGATTTATGGGATACCGGGTCTCCCCCGACCGGTAAGACCAGTATATCTACGCTAACGGTGTGTTTGCGATGAATATTTGAAAGCAAATAATTAAGATGCAAATTATTTAAACAAAAAAAATAATTATAATCAAAAAACATTAAATTTGACTAAAAATGGTGTGACAAAACACAAAATAGTTAACTAGTAACTTTTTCTATGTTCAGTTTGTTTCACTTATGCTTGTTTGTGGATACAATAGTCCCAAACAAAGATTACTGTATATTATGTGTGAAAAATGGCATTCATTTGTATTCATTGTATAGAATATTCTGTAATTCTGTAGGGTTTTGGTCTGAAAACTCAATACAAAAGACAATTTGCTTTTAAAAAGTTTTAGTTTATATAGTGTTATACAAAAATAATTGTAGTCAACATCGGGTTAAACCTTATTTTGAGCTCAATTCTGGTCGCAATTATTATTATAATATAATTATTATTAATACTAATTAATTAATATTAGACAATAGTTTTATCGGTAATGTGTTTAAGTATTAAATTAATGCCTAAAATATTGCTAATTATATATCAATAATAATTTATGTACATAAATAAAAATACGCTTGGTAATATGAGTTTTCAATATTGAATCCCTTATTATTAATATAGTTATAAAATATATAATAAAGTCTTTTGTGTATATTTTTTGATTTTAAATTTTTCTCACAATTCATTTGATTGATTGGATTTGTGTTACGGTATAGAAAAATATAGAAAATATAATATAAATAAATAAATTTTTATCAATTCTTAAATTAGTTTCAAAAATAATTTGTTTGTGAATTAAATAAAACAATATTTTTCGTTATAGTTATCGTTCATTATATTCAAGCGATTAGTTTCCCTGATCTTCGCTATCGCTCGTCGTGTCTGAAAAATGAGATAAAAAATAAATTATTAGAAAATTATTAGAAAATCAATTCATAATTATATTAAAATTACAAAAAATATTCACAAATCATATGAATTTGTGAAATAAACTGTAAGTTATGCTAAAGTGTACGGCTATGCAATGCTAACTAAAAACTTGAATAAAACCTAATTTAATAAACTTATAATTTCTAATAAACTATTAAAGTCAGTAAAAATAAGTAATAAAGTGGACAGACATGTAGACCACTAAAAGGCGATAATTACCTCCTTTTTTGCCTAAATACTGGTGTTTCCTAAGCCTATCGTAGAGGTCCTCTTTGGTGCCGTAAACGGACGCCGGGTTACTAATACCCTGAAGGGTGGACCCGTTACTCTTGCCGTTATGTAGGCTTTCCTTCATATAGGTCTCGTTGTAGAAGTTAGGCATTTCCCAGCCATCGTCCTCGTCATCGTAATAGTGAGCGTACGTCGAGTGATGGGAGGGGGCTATGCTCTCGGCATAGGGGGCAGGCGTGCCGTAATAGAAATTAGGCTGCGGTCCGGGAGTGGGCGCAAAATCGGTCGGTATGGTGTGGACGGACATCTTTTTGGTGACGGGCCGGCTACTGGTGCGCACGCATATCATCCAAATGAGTAGCACAATGAATATGATGAAGAAGACGGAGGCGCCGATACCGCCGGCGATGTATATGAGCTCCGACTTGCGCTCACACCTGTCCCCGTAGAAGTTGATGAGACACTCGCACCGGGGTCTACGCATACCGGGGGCCCACTCGCAGCGGCCGCCGTTGATGCAGTAGTCGTCGCATACGTTGACACAGTGGGGGTAATTGAGGTCATTGGCTGCCGGGCCGGTCGTGATCTCCTTGAAGCCGTCCTTACAGACGCACCGGAAGTCCTCACCACCAGTGGGGGCCTCGCACTGGCTGTTGGGCGGACACAACTCCATCTTGTCGTTGATGACACACGGGTTGGAGCACTGGTCCTGACTGGTGGCGCCCAACGCGTCGGTGGTCGAGTTGGGGGGACACGACTGACAGGAGGTGTCCCGTTGCTCGACGTCCTGATACGTGCCCTTTGGACACGGGATGCACTCGTCTAGTGTTGTGTTCAGGTAGTGGCCGACGGAACAGATCTCTGCAATGAATGGTAAAAACGATTTTGTCATTCAAATTGCTTTTCATTTATGTCTTATAAACAGGGATTCATACCGAGATTGCATTGCGTGGGAGTGGAGGCGCCCATTGAGCCGGTGGTAAACCCTTGCGGGCACTGTTCGCATGAGGGCTGACCACGGGTTCGGTAGTGACCGATAGGACAGGCCTCGCAGTTGCCGGTAGAGGACAGTTGGAAACCAGGCATACATTCCGCTAAAAACATGAATAATACACAAATTAATACAATTATTCAGAGCACAGGTATGTCTATCGACTTACGTCTGCACTCGTGTCTGGCGACTGCCTCCTGGCTCCTGGTGGTGAGTCCGGTGCCGCAGGAAATACATGTGAACGATCCTTCAGCGGGCTGATAGTGGCCGTAACCACAGGGACGGCATCCGTTGTGAGTGGTATCAAAATAGGTACCGGCGCTACACCTCTCCCTACACTCATCTGCGGAACGGGAGCCACTAGTGATGGTGACGCCCTGTCTCTCGCCAATGAGCTGACACTTCTTGCAAGACAACTGTCCCAACTCGTTCTGATAGGTGCCTACCGGGCACTTGACACACGTCTGCGTGGGCTCGTCATAATAGGTACCGACGCCGCACTCCACGCAACTGTCGCCCATAACTACCTGCCCGGGAGGACAGGCGTACTCAGTGATCAGCCTCAAAGAGCGTAGGTCTGGCTGGACGTTGGGAAGGGTGTCCCTCACGTCAAATATGGCACTTTCGACGACCGCCCGGCGTATGATCGACTCGAGCGCATCCTTTTCCTGTGTATTCACATTCATAATGGGGTCGATATTCGCGGGGAAACCGATTTCCACGGAATACACGTCCATATCGTCGGTCCGGGAGTCGCCGTTGGACTGTCGCCTCTGTCGCGTCGACGCCTGTTTGGCGCACTTGACGTTCACTCCCAGTCCCTTACAGGTGCCGCGCGACTGATCCGAGCATATCTTCCACGTGCGGTCGATGCGGAGTAGGCTGTCGGTGACCCGGGAGGTCAGGATCTTCTTGCCGGAGTCGCTGCACACGACTGCGGACGGGATGTTCAGCACCAACCGGAATATGCGTTGAGCCGAGTGTTTGGGCGCACACGAGGGGAACACCAGCGGCCGGTCCGTGTCGTCGTTGGGCCTCCAGAAGCCCTCAGCGCCGCACACGTAGAACCGGGGTATGGGTTGCGAGAACTGTAGCCCGGAGTTACACTTGATTTTGCACACCTTGAACCGGCCTCCCGGTCCCCAATCGGAGCACTCGCGTTCACCGCCAACGGGCGGCGCCGGTATGCGACAGAACTCGCGCACGACGTGAACCTGGAAGTCGCACCGGGCGCTGTTGCCCGACTCATCCACGGCTACGTACGACAGATCGTACGTTCCCTTTTTGAGCGACTCGCCCGACTTGACTTTGCCCAACTCGAGCACCTGTACGGAGCGCAGGTCGTCGGCGAACTGGGGCTCGTCCCAATGGACAACCGTCGAGCTGTTCTCCGAGATGACCCACATGTCGGGCGGGCAGTGCAGTACCGACGGCGCCGTCTTGTCCTGCTGTAGGATACGGCAGTCGTCGCCGGAATAGCCGGTCGGACACACCCTCTCGCCGCACTTGCCGGGGCCCTCGCGCTCTACCGTTCCCTCGATGCGGTCGTAGCCCGTGAACCGGAGCAGTAGTCCCGCGAAGATCACCGGCGAGTTCTTGCAGCTGCGGATTTGCGACGGTATCTCCACCGACATGTCCAGCGCCCGGTTCCACACGTTCACGCGACTGAGCCGGCCGTGAAAGCCGGCGCCCACCTCTGCCTTGTTTTTCTCGTCCAGAGGTGCGCCCAGATTGACCCAACCGTACTGCGGGAGTGTCATACCGACGCCGTACTCGGCGACAGTGCCGGCCACTGCCGTGTCGGTCACCAACATCAGCGTACCGTCCCTTCCGTCCCAAATCACGTTAATGTAGTGCCACTGGCCGTCATTGATGGGCACGTTCTCCAGGTATGGCATAAACACGTCCTGAAGTCTGTCGGCGAACAGTGAGATGAAGACTCCGTTATGGTTGGCCCTAATCAGCGGTCGTTTGCCGATAGGCAGGTGCGGCGACTCCACAGAGTAGAGGGTAAAGTAGGTTCCGATGGACTCCTCGATGTACTGCACCCATAGGCCGACGGTTATCGCGGGCGCTTCGGTCAAGTCGAAGGGCACCTGTAGGGCGGCGCTCGACGACCGACTCTCGTCATTGATGTACAGATCGTAGTCGATGTTAATGGGTTTACGGCAGTCCTCGCCGGTCAGGTTGAAAGGGCACCGGCAGTAGAAACCGTTGGTCAGGTCGATGCAGGTGGCGGTGGGCGGGCAGGACTGGGGCGAGCAGTCGACCACATCGTGCTGGCAGTTCTTGCCGGTGAATCCTGGCGCGCATTGGCACCGGTAGCCATCGCCTTGATCATGACAGGTGGCGCCGTTGAGGCACACGTTCTCATCGCAGGCCCGGTACTCGTACTGACAGCCGACGCCCGAGTACTTCGAGGCACAGGTGCAGTTCAGTCCCGACCCGTAGTCCCGGCATATGCCGTCGTGTTGACACGGGTTGCCTATACAGCGCTGGGGGGATGTCTGACACCGTTTGCCATCCGTACCGGACGGACACACGCAGAAGTAGTCCTGGAAGAGGTCGACACACTTGGCGTCGTTATGACAGGGGCTGGACTCGCACTGACCGATGTCTCGCTCGCACCGGTGGCCCGACCAGCCCGGCGGACACGAGCACTTGTAGCCGTTGATGGCGTCGGCACAGGTGCCGCCGTTCAGGCAGGGACTGGAGGCGCAGTCGTTTTCGTTCACTTCGCACAGTTCGCCACTGAAGCCGGCGTTACACTCGCACCGGAAGCTGTTGTCCAAATCCGTACACTTCTCGGTGCCCAACGCGTAGCACGGGTTCGACACGCAGTCGTCCACTTCGGCCTCGCATTGCAAGCCTACGAAACCTGTGTGAGAGAGGGGAACGGTAGGTGTTAGATGTGGATTTGTAATAGAGTGTGTGGTTTAGTAAAATAGCATAAACCTGTACTGACCTACAGTACACTACTGTACAGTAAAACATTATTAATGTAAAAACTGTTAGTTTAGAAACTAATAATTAATGTTTTTAATTTACTATTTCTGACCCCTTTTACAAATATTAATTTAACCCTACTCATTTATTGTTTGGAAATGTTATTTATGTTTGAATTTATCCAGTGGTTATTAGCAATTAAAAATCTGACTATTGGTAGTTAACATTATCAGTTTCAGCTCAGGTTAGTTTATTGAACATTTAAAAACCTAAACAACTTAAAAAATTAAATTTCAATTAAGTTTGCATACCTGGGCGGCATTGGCACATAAAACCATCGATGAGATCGAAACAGGAGCCTCCGTTCTGGCAGGGCTTGGACTCGCACGAGTCGATGGGGTGTTGGCACCGACTGCCCGTATAGCCCGTATCGCACACACACCTAAACCCGTCCACTATATCCACGCACTCGCCGTTGTTTTCGCACGGGTCGGACGCGCAGTCGTCAGCATTCACCTCACACTTGACGCCCGTCCACCCGGGGTTGCAGATGCACTCGTGATGGTACAGTCTGTCCACGCACAGCCCATTAATACAGGGGCCGTTACCGGAGCACAGGTCGATTTTCTGGTGACATCGTTTGCCAGTGAAGCCCGGGGGACAGTCGCACTTGAAGTCGTTGACCAAATCGGTACAGTTGGCGCCCAGTAGGCAGGGCTCTTCGGCGCAGTCGTCGATGTTGATCTCGCACTTCCTACCCGTCCAGCCGGCCGGGCACTCGCACCGGTACCGGCCCTGCAGTAGTGGCACGCATTGGCCATCGTTTTCGCACGGATTGTGGTCGTGATGAGTGCACGGGTTGATCGTCACGTTACACGACCGGCCCTCGTAGCCCGACCGGCACAGGCACTCGTAGTGGCCGAGGCCAGGCGTGTCCTTACACATGGCTTTCTCGGGACAGGTGTCGTTCCGGCAGTCGCTTCGCGCCAGTTGGCAGTTGAGCCCGGAGTAGCCGGTGGGGCACTTGCATTGGTAGCCCTGGGGGTTGTCGACGCAGGTGCCGCCGTTATAGCACGGCTCCGACAGGCACTCATTGATGTCCACATCGCACAGGGATCCTGAGAAGCCTGCGGGACAATAGCAGGTGGGCTCGTGGTTGAGGACTAAACAGACGCCGCCGTTTTGACAGGTGATGGACGAGCACTGGCCCGCCGAACACGCCTCCGGACTGAGAGCACCGGGACGTAACGTGCGCTCTTTGCCGGAGCACTCCTG